TTTACATGCAAGTGTTGCTGAAGTTCATAAGAAACAAACGCTGCTTCTTTAAAAAAATCCTCTCCCATGAATCAAAAAGCCTGCTGTCAGTGCCATATTTTATTTTCCCAGAATTAGTTTGTGTACAAACACATTCAGTTATTTTTAAAGTTGTCAAGCTGCTCTTGGTGCTATAGCTGTCTATTGCTAATAATAATAAGAACTTCAGTTGTCCTTGTGCTAATGGTCTGCTTCTGGCTTTCCTTTTAGGGAAGCAGCGATGAGGACTCCGCCAAAAGCATTCTGACGACCCCCGAGAATCGCATCCTCGTCAAGCGGATGCTCATTAAGTGTGCCGACATCTCCAATCCATGCAGGCCTCAGGAGCTCTGTATAGAATGGGCCGGACGCATCTCAGAGGAGTATTTTGCACAGGTAATTAGACAAAAGATCCAACTTTGATGGTGTTGTGAGATGGATTTTTTTATTTTATGATAATCATTTGTGCTATTGTCTCTGGTGCAGACGGACGAGGAGAAGAGACAAGGTCTACCAGTGGTTATGCCTGTGTTTGACAGAAACACTTGTAGCATCCCAAAGTCTCAGATTTCCTTTATAGACTACTTCATTACGGACATGTTTGATGCATGGGATGGTAAGGATGCACTGCACGTTAACACTAAAAACACATAGACTGCTTTACATCTTCATTGTTATGTAATAAATCTATTTTTCTATCTGGATTTCTTATTGAGATCCAGTTTTAGGAGGATGTACAATACATGCATAGTAAACCAAATTCAAGCTCACAAATAGCACAGACAGTGGACAGTTCATTCCCTATGAAGGAAGACAAATTGTAAGTGGCATGTAAAATATTGTAATATCTTCTAAAGAAATTAGGTAATCCCCTACTGAGTATTTTAGTTTAATACAGCTGTCAAATTAGCAAATAAAGTATCATGGTCTTTTAAAAAGTACTTTGATACCTACATTTGTACTAAATCTAAACACTGTGTTTTCCTACAACATTAGACCAGGGTCAGTGGAGAAACCTACTTCATCAAGTAGATCAAGAAACCTTTGTCAATGTCATTATTAAATAAATAAAAAAGTAATTTTATTGAAAAAGTGATTATTGAAAAAAGAGAGTACCAAATTAATCTTTATTGGTAGATATCCTGAATTAAGATATAAGAGAGTAAAAGTTAAGTTTGTGCATTCATACACAGTCATCCAAATGTATGAATAGGAAGGTGGTATTGACTTAAAAAAAAAAACTACCAAAGTTGACTCTTGTGTTCACCTTCTATCATTGTGTTTCCAGCTTTTGCAGACCTTCCCAACCTTATGCAGCACTTGGACAACAACTTCAAGTACTGGAAAGGCCTTGATGAGAGGAAGCTGCACAGCCTGCGACCGCCTCCAGAGTAGGCGCTGCAGTGTTGGGTCCTGGGACTCTGCGGTCCGGGGCAGCCCTCCTCTCTCCTGCCAGGGCGTCTCTCTCTCTGCCAGCCCAGCCAGCCACTGGGCCTCCTTGCCTTCACTCTTCTGCTTCTGTAGCATGCTGAGCGTCCACAAGTCCGTCCATACAGAAACCACAGAAGGACTTCCTGGCAGGCAGTTGCAGCTGGCTTGTCAGATGAGAACTGTGACAAACAGACACGGACACACAACATCCTTATGAACTCCTCGTGCCTCTCAGGCATCCACAGTGTAGCTTGCCAAGTGACACGACTGAGAGATGGTCCTAACAGGCCTCCTGGCAAAGCCTCCATCCCTTATTTACTACATGAGCACTCCTGTTTGCCTATGAAGTTGCTGTTTGAGTAAAAACTGCTTGTTAGCTGAAGGAGCAAGCAACACTGGAGGAGTGGGTGAAATGTGGCCTGGTTATGAAGGTGACCAATCCACATCAGGCCATATCATAATTACCTTTGACCTCCATCCCTGTGCTCGAAGCAAGGCAGGACTGCTCCTTCTGCCCCCAGAGGCCACACCATGAAAGAACACTCCACTGCTTTTTTTTTTGCAACACTTTTCATGTGTCCTTCAGAAACACATCCAAGTTGACACATAGCTGTCATAACAGACATGTGGGAGGGGATGCTTTCTCTTTGGGTCAGGGAGTGGATCTTTACTTTAGGCCACTGCTGAGAGACAAACACCTCAACATCATGATCATAGGTAACTAATTACACATGATTTGGTATGTTAATTTTCTTAGTTTTTCCTTATTTTATATAATAAAAACATTCATACATGAATGAGTTGATAAGTAAGAACAAATTGAATTTCGAAAAGAGAGAAAAAAGCCAAAGCTGATGAAAACAAATAATATAGCTAATTATTACTCATACAAAGCATTACCATAATAAACATGTTTATTTTCTTATCAAAAGTACAGTACCAGTTTGAATGAACACTTTTGTATTGCACTGTAAACAATATTAGAAATGTCTACGTCTCAGTGATTTGTCCAGGGGTGGGATGTTGCATGTAGTGTGTGTGTGTGTGTGTGTGTGTGTGTGTGTGTGTGTGTGTGTGTGTGTGTGTGTGTGTGTGTGTGTGTGTGTGTGTGTGTGTGTGTGTGTGTGTGTGTGTGTGTGTGTGTGTGTGTGTGTGTGTGTGTGTGTGTGTGTGTGTGTGTGTGTGTGTGTGTGTGTGTGTGTGTGTGTGTGTGTGTGTGTGTGTGTGTGTGTGTGTGTGTGTGTGTGTGTGTGTGTGTGTGTGTGTGTGTGTGTGTGTGTGTGTGTGTGTGTGTGTGTGTGTGTGTGTGTGTGTGTGTGTGTGTGTGTGTGTGTGTGTGTGTGTGTGTGTGTGTGTGTGTGTGTGTGTGTGTGTGTGTGTGTGTGTGTGTGTGTGTGGCAACAATCCCTTGCTCTTGGTTTAATGCTGTACACCGCTTGACATTTGACAACAGCAGAAATATGTGAAAACATTTTGGACTTGAACATTTTTTTCTCCCAGAATTTTTTGTATCTGGTTTATCCTACTGAAAAGACTGCCTTATTTTATACAATATTTATACAGTACATCCCACTGTGCAACTGCAACGGACATCTGGAGTTTTTATTATAACATAGTCAAAAGGTTATGTTCAAGTAAATCTCAATATTTTTATAGACAATGAATTTTACACTGGATTTGCAGCAAATGAGATCAACCATTCTAGCTATCTGAATACCTGTGAAGTGGATGGTCACACAGAGCGTGTATGCAGAGATCTAAATGGTTAGGAAGGATGTGGATCACAGAGTTGTCTATCACTGTTTTTGAAGCAGTCTCCTAGAGGCCTGCTTGCATTGATTTTTTTTGATCAAACATCATTATATTTTGGCCACTTGTCCAACATCCTTATGCACAGACCCAGGGAACAGCTTTTTGTTCAAGGCTGGTTTCAGATTAGGATACTAATATATGTAAAAGATTGTTGCTTATTAAAAAAATCCTCTTTAAACAGTATATTGATACCATAACAGCTAAGCAAATGATGGTTGATAGGAAGTTATTGACCATGGTTATGTTTGTGTCTCTCTTATGACAGAATTGTACTCTCAATCAGGGGATTTGTTTGTTCCTTCTGATTCACATGTTGGTCTGAAGGCACGGGAAAAAAATAGAAACTATTCAATGAAAAATAAAATAATGTCAATTATAAGTTTTCAGTCTTTTTCCTGCAGTGACCCAACTTCTGTCCTCCTACTTATTTTATATTTCTCTGTTTATGTTTGCGTTTTTTCATTAGCCTACAAAAGCCTTATACATATTTTGTATTTGCTCTGAGTTTGTCTAGTTATTTAACTATGTTCACTCACTTTATTTCCTGAAGGTTCCTTGTTTTACTTTAACTATCTCAACATTTTGTAAAATATGAAATAACTATAGGGCACATACAGTATGTATCAATAATTAAAGGATTTCCATTTAGTTCAATAAGGGATTCATTTTAGTGGGTATGAAAAATGAAAACAATTAAATTATGTAGGATTCTCTGAGATAGCACAATTAATACATTGGAATATTTTTATTTTCCTTTTCAACACTGTCTGTCTGTAAAAAAATATGTTTTCTACAGCAAAGCACAGAAGACTGCTTATTGTTTTAAATGGATCAAGGGTATGTTTAACTTCCGATAACTTTTCTTTTTATAAAACCCAACCTGATAACATTTGGGAAATTAATTCCTGGGAAACAAGTCAATAATTCACACTCCTCTGTGAAGAGTACAGTTTTCTGGTGGAGCTGTTTGGAACAGGAATATCCTGCTTGAATTAATTGATTGTATGGTATTCAGTTGAAATGGGAAAGAATACTACTAAGTGGAAGTGTTATGCAAACCTATCATCATGGGGGTCTCTCAATCAAGAAATGACAAAAGAAAGGTCTTGATGACATTGTAAAGTAACGCGGAATCCAAAGTGTGGGGGTTGTTGTCTGTGAAAAAAATAACTACTATTGCCAATAACTCTATTGATTGTGACTCAGGAAGAAATCAAGTTCTCAGATAAGGTCACGTATAACATCTTTATTCTAACTTTCCCTTATTAGTTACAAGTATGCAAAACCAACCAAAATAAATATGTATTTTTTTGGCATACCTTTTTTGATTAAGGATGTGTCATGAATTGTATCCAAAATAATGATTTAATAGAAGATGATTTCAGTTATTTGTATAGCTGTCATGTGACCATGTGATTCCAAATCCAAACCAGATATGGTACTTCAAGACAATTAGGACATAGGCATATTTGATTTTAGTGCTTCTTCTATGCTATATGAATATTGTTATGAATATTAAGCAGTTTCTTAATTGAAAAGTCTATTACATTTATTATGTAATAGTTTTCATGTCAGACTTTGAAAAGACTAGAGATTGTTACTGCCCTGCTGAATAAATAACAGCTTGGACCAGTTAAAGATTGTAGCTGGTTGAAGCTGGTCTGCCAGCCTGGCCCATGGACTCATTAGCCCGGCCTGACCTATTATACATCCACGGCCTGACCAGACTGAGTCCTTATTATACATCCATGACTGAGTCACGTAACATGAAAACAGCTCCACTTCCGCCTAGTCACACTTTGCGACAAGTCGTCAGAAGAAATCGACAGCCAGTCGAGACCTATGGCTCCCGTCGCCCAGCGTCAACTGTATTAAAAACTGTTTTAATTATACTACACATTTATTGGAGTGGTGCTATGTCTTCGGGGATGACGGGACGCACGCCGTAAGTTTTTGTTTGCTTTTTTAAATATATTGTGCAACTTGAGTAACACGAGATAACGCCGCACTGCCTATGTGTAGCAGTAAGCTAGCCAGCCAAGCTAGCTGCGTTGTTGAGGCCTGCTGTTAGCACACGGGCTATCACTTATGGGCGTAAAACTCAATACGAGTTGACTCTCAGTGTATGTTACAAGGTTACTCGAGCTCTACTGGCTTGAATATATTTATTTTTATTGCAAAAGTCCAAATAAACAGGATCGTAACTTGCTAACTGAGGTAGCTCAACCTTAGCATTAGTATCAGTTACAGCTAGCTAACTTTGGCTGTGGCTGGCTTATCTGAAAATAAACTGTTAAAAACACGCAACACATGTTCATCTGGCGCAAAACACACACTTTGCTTTTAGCTTAATCAACCCGATAATTGGTTTACCACCAGGCTCCTTAAAACTCCACTATTTCCTATTTACCTTCGTCTGAAACGTTGTACCGCTTCAACCGCTATCATCACATTACCAGCGCCATTTGAATCAAATTATTAGATTATTCTTGGGGAATATTTTACGTGTTACAAGACCAATTATTTACCACAACTACGGAAAAACAATGCAAAACATTTCCCTTAGCCCCTCTACGTAATGGTTACCACTAACTTGACCTGTGTTTTATCTGAGTACTCTCAATGGTGTAGCTTCACTTAAAGATCCATAAAATCTTAAAGACACTGTTCTGCTGTCCCCTTTTGTATGTCGTTTTCCTAAAAGGTTAAAACCATGTATTAAACATTATTACAAATATGGTTATTTCATTTTTTGTCCGTTGTTTTTTGTTCTCAGGTGCCTAACAAGCAGATGGGATATGACAGCCCAACCTAAACAGAGAAGCAGTGAAAATGCAACCCACTCGCTGTCTTTATCAGGAGTCGTCGGCACTGCTGGTTCAAACAGCTCAGCTTCCCCGTCACAACAAGCGGGAGAGAAGCCGGCGCCTCAGGGAGGAGTTGAGATGGCAGCAGCCATGGCTGCTAAAATAAATGCCATGTTGATGGCAAAAGGAAAGCTGTTGACTCCTCCACCATTGCTTGCAAAGGTGCTCATGATTTAGACATCTGTGGTAAATAACTGTCTTGTTTATTGCATCATTAGAAGGCTAACAGCTTCCCTTCTCAATTCTTACTTCTTTTAGACGCCTCGAAATATCCATGTGCCAAACACTACGGAAGAAATGGTGGTCACAGAGGTCGACATAAACGATGTACCAATAAATTGCAGGGAACTTCTTACTAAAGGCAAAACACAGGAAGAGGTAACTAGACAAAGTGCCCATGGTAACTTTGCAGGTGTCACACAAGATACGTTCAAAAGAAAATGGACAGGCAAAACATTAAGAAACTCTATAAATCCCTCTTAAATCTTAATCAGATATTCTATTCACTTTTCCAGATCCGACAGTTCAGTGGATCAGTCGTCTCAACGAAAGGCCATTACATGTCTGACGGGGAAAAAGGAAAAGCAGGGTCTGTATTTAGACACAGGATTTTTCTGATCCCAATTTAGACTATTTTAATACTTTACACATTGAAAAAATGATGTGTTTTCAATGACATTTCTGATTTGCTTACTTTCAGACAAAGGCCTTTGTATTTGCATGTCCAGGGGAAGAACCAAGATCAAGTCAATAGTAAGTAGCACTTAAAAAAAAAAGTGCTCTATTTGCTGATTCTGGCATACTCTTCTTCTCATGTAATTCACAAATGTTGTAAGCATTTTAATGCCTGTGGGTTATGACTGATGTCCAACACTTTACTGCAACCCCAGAGGCTGTGCTGAGGATAAAAGAGATCATCTCTGAAGACCTGTTGAGGGCCTCGGCGGCATCAGGAGGACATCAGGTGCCTATAATGCCTCCGCTCACACTCTACCCTCAGCCTCCTCGGCCGGTCATTTCCCCATCTGCACCACGGATGCCAAACACCAACTCAGTGCCAGGACATCGGCCTGCAGCTCCTCATTCAGGGGTAGGCATATTGGACATATAATACAATAATATATTTAAATGTGGCCTTTTACAAACAACAGGGAAACAAGCTCAGCTCTATTGTATTGAATATTGATTGTCTGTGTCGTGTCATAGTGTCAGTCAGAACTTTTCAAATGGAGGTTAAGAAAGTGAGGCAAATGAAGACCATGTTGCCTTCACTGATACCCACCTCCCAGATAAAGTAGCAGAGAGAACGTCCCTGGTCTAAAGGGAAAAGCCTTGGATTTCTGCGCCTGCTTACAAATCTTTCTTACAATTATTCAAGCTTTTTTTAGATGTTTATAAAAAAACAGAATATGCAGGGCACATTAATTTATCTCATATTTCCCCACATCATCAGAGTTTTGTGCACACAAAGATTTTTGTGGGTCTGGACCAGGCGTGTCCCTCGTTCAACGTGAATGAAAAGGTGGAGGGTCCGGGAGGATCGTACCTGAGTCACATCCAGGCAGAGACGGGGGCTCGGGTCTTTCTCAGGGGGAAAAGTTCTGGCTACATCGAACAAGCATCCAAACGAGAGTCTTTTGAGCCTCTTTATGTCTACATCAGGTATGTTCTCACTATTCAAGCTAAAAGAAACAAGACCATGTTTATTTTGAAGGAAACCACACATAGATTCATTTAGTTTACTAACTTAAACATTTTCACTCAATAACAGACCATGACTTGACATCTTTGCTGAGTTAAGAATTAAGAGATCAACCCACATTAAATCCATTATTTGTGTTTTACAGCCACCCAAATTCATCTGGGTTGGAGTCAGCGAAGAAACTTACGGAGAGTCTGCTGGAAACTGTAAGTTCCTGATACTGTTGACACAAACACAGGTGTGAGTTTAACTGAATGAGGGCCTAATGGGAGGTTAAAGAAGGTGAAACTATTAAAGCATATAGTTCTTACTGATACCCACCTCCTAAAGTAAAAGTGGTAGTGAGAACCACCTGATCTCTAGAGATAGATTACGAGTGCTCTGCACCTACCCACAATGCAACTGTTGAAATCAATCAATGCAGCCTTTGTTGATTGTTATCTCCCTCCTTCAATATATTTGTCTCTCTCTCTCCAGGTGAGACAGGACAATGCCCGTATGGCGTCGATGTACAGCGCCACCAGTTCAACACAACGTGAGTATTCCTTTATTCCTCGTAACTAGTTCCAACAGGGTGACCCAATGTCAGGTACTAGCTGCCTGCATCCATCTTGTTAATAATCATCGTGTGACATCTGTAGTGGCTGAATAAGTTAAAAATAGAACGTAACTGTCAAGAACACCGTTATTGGTTCGTGTTATATATGCTATTAACTCCACGTTCTATACTTTCATTTCAGCATACGCAGCACATGGATTTCAACCTAATAGCAATTACTCTAGCCAGGGGTCCTGGTATAACTACCCAGCTAATGGGTATGCTGGCGGCTATTCAGCGTACTCAGGAGCCAGTGGTTATTGGAGTAATGCAAATGGTCCCCCAAGTCATTCTAACATGTCGACAAACCCTCCATCTTCTCAGGCAATGGTTCAGTATCCTGTGTGTCCTAGGAAACCAAATCCCTATCTCGACCAGGTAATTGCTAAGGCTTCAGCAGCTGTGTATTTCTATATATGTTTGTATTATTTAACCTATAAAATGTTTGACTTTAAACCTGTACAGCCTTGAAAGGGTTGAATGCGTACTCAGGAGCCTCTATACCGTTGTGCACAGTTTTTTAAATCCTGTCACTGCAGCCGTGTGTATGTGTTGGTTTTTTCTCTACTGAAGGATGCTGACAGCAGTGGGACAGTGGAGCCTGGAGGATCTTTAGACAACCCCCCCGACTCCGGAAGTCCCAGACGTCATTTCCAGGAGGGGGCTAAGGAGGAACAGGTTAGTTGATGAGTTACACCTCTACACATCGCTGACAGATTAAATAAAATACAAAGACATAAAATGACACACTATTATGAAAAGTATCAATCACAGTTGGGTTATCCTACATGCACACAGTCTCTGTTACTATGTTTTTCAGACTAGCTAAGTAGTGAGTCACATTATTGTTTCGTAAACATCTAACCACCGTTCCTAATACTGGCTGACTAACAAAGCTGAGCAGTGTGTTTTGAATACAGACATGGGATTCAGCTGCATCAATGTGAAACTCCTGGGAATTCCCAACATCATCTATCAACCCTAAGAGCAGTGGTTCTCAACTGGTCAGGCCTCGGGACCCACTTTTTACTTGGTCAATACATCGCGACGCAACATTTTGAAGCACTCAAATCTATTCAACAAAAAATCGTGCTGTAATATACGCTTTTCAGCAAACAATATTAAAGTGAAGTACAGTGCTTATATCCCTTCACAGAACTAAAGTATGCTTTTTAATGAGATGATGGAATCAAAGCTGAACTGTACACACACATGCTGAAAACCCAACCCCACCAGGGGGGTCTGGGGGGATTCTCCCCCAGGAGATTTTTAGAAATACTAACATAAACTATGCATTCTGGTACTCTGAGAAGAAAATAAATAGATGTATTACAACCCGACATATTAATAATATTTTATGCCATTGTTTGTTTTTCACTTTGTTCTGACATCAGAAGAGCAAAGAGGAGATAGTCTGTGTGACTTACTTTAAATTGTGGGTAAGGGTAGATAGCTCCCATTGTTCTGTGACCTGTCAATCATCAAACCGGGGGTCATATTTCATTATGGGTTCATTTTTATCTGAAGTTGTACCCATGGATGTATAAAGAATAGTTCTACCGCTAAGTTATTCTCCGTGGGGACTTCCGGCAACAATCTTGATTCTGATTGGCCAGAAGACTCGAAAAAACATCAGCAAAGATATTTTATTGAGAAGATGATCACGATGTGACAGAATTTTTTTTTTTTCTCGAAACGGGGACCAGTTGAGAACCACTGCCTTAGAGCACTTCAGGCTCTCTCCAACCATTTCCCTGCCTGTCATGAGACGTATATCAAAGGTTCAAATTACCATCCGAATCAGGCCGTCGCCTTTTTATTCAGCTTCTCCTCCTTTCAAAGTACATTTTTCAAATAAGTGAGAAGGTTAAGTTTTGAAAAGGTTTTCATGTGTTGAATGATGTTTTTCCAACACTCTCTTTTTATGTTTGTTTAGCCTTCCAGCAGATCTCCAGAGGGTCCTGTGAACCAAGAGGCGGCCCTTCCTGCCCCCAGTGTTGGAAAGGAGAAAGTAGTAGAAAGGTAGGTTAATTGATTACATTTTCCTTGTTAAATTATTCTTCATGAACTTTGTGAGGTGTAGATATTGATGTCTTTCTCTCGACAGGATTCTGATGCCCCCTCCCCCACCTCTGTTTGTGGCCCCTGCCCCTGTTGCACGCAAAAGGCCGAGAGACACAGAAGACCCAGTCAGTCTGCCTGGCATCACCGCATCTATGGGTATGCATTTCTTCATCTCAAATATCCTGAGGGTGATACTTCGGACATGTCTGTTGCATGTAGCTGCACCTCCCCCCATGGAGGAGTGGAGGAGGAGTGGAGACCTGTGTGACGCTCCCCACTGGCAGAACCCACTAACGCACTTCTCCTGTATATGTCTTTTGTCTTTCCCTCGTTTTCTCTCTCAACATGTGACCCTGGACGGCCTGTTATGGATGTGTGCTCTGCTGCCGTTTCATTTGGTATCTTCCCATCCCTGGCTGTGGATCAAACGAAACCAACGCTAACATGAGGCTCCTCAATGGGTTTCCTTTTCTCTTTTATCTCGCTACCCCCCCCCCCCCCCTTCTCTCTCCTTTTCTCTGTCTCTTTTTTTATTGCGTTCTTACAGGTGTTCAAGATGAGATCGGCAAGAAGACGAAAGTGGACGACGATACGTCTGGGCTAGTCCCCTACGGAGGAGACTCCTCCGACGAAGAGGAGGAGAGGACGCGCAGCAGTAAGCCCGATCACTCATAACCCCTGCCCCCTCCCCCCCCAGTCCAGGATACTCACAGACCCAAAGTCTCCATTCGGTTTACAACACAGTTCTCAAACCCCGGAAAGGAAAAATCCGCCCTTTCATTTTCATTCACTATTTTGTCTTTTATTTAATTTAATTGTTTTACTACAAAGAGGGAATGCATTGATTGCTGATCATTTTCCAAGTAGAGTTAACCATTTTAAAACTTGCAGAATGTTTGGTTTTTTCATCTCCATCTGGCCCCACTTTATGTATCGCATCCTTTTTAAAAGGCAGGGGACCAAACTTTACACACCGACAGGTTGACAATCTTAATATCATTATTTTATAGCACAGATGATTATTAGTAAACAGGCTGTAAATGAAAAAACAAATACTGGTATGGTCTTTGAATAATCACCATCTCCTGATGTTTGGTGCTTTCGTGGACTCTTAAGGAGGAAAGGTTTTTATTGAATGGTCTTGGTGTAGGTTTTGCCATGTGTACTTTTTCTCTGTTATATCACAAGGGGTGTGAACCCGTTGGTTTCTCTATAGTATTGCACGCCTAGATAGCAGTTGTAAATATAGAAAACCATGCCAACTATTTCATTGTGCATATTTTTGTAGCCAAATGACTTATAAGCGCAGCACATCTTGTGGCTTCATGCTCATTAGAGATTGTAATGGTTTTAGAAAATATAAGTCTTTCACCTTTGTTATCGCTGTCTTGATATAAACCTTTCTGTCTTACTCTTAAGTGTCTGACTCCAAAACGTCCACATACAATTATGAAAAGATGGTCATTTTTTTGTAAAGATGTCACTATTAAACAAATGACTCCCTTTGATCAGTGTGAAAGTATTCAGGGTGGATTTCCCCTTTTTTTTTTTAAGAGGTGAATACTATTGTATAACTACATATTTTTTCATTTCTTTAAACCATCTTTTTGCTCATCAAAACAAGCCCCTTTATTTCCTATTTTTTAATTCAAACACTTGGTCTGCTGCAGTTACTGATGCTATAAATACATATTGTAAAATTCAGTGAAACTTTTTTTCTTATCTTGGAAAATGGTGTATGCCTGTTCCCATGGAATACTATAATAAAGAAACACTTATAAATAAATCTGCCTTATTGTCTTTGGATCCTGCACATCTTACACAATTGCGAAGAGCCGGCATATGCTTTTTTTATTGGGACTCTCCCAGAACTTTGTTAAGTAAGAAAAACAAAGTTATTTCACGTCCTTCCAGCCCTGGGTTTTATTCCGTCATTCTGCTGTCAGGTGAATGCGTACTCGGGAGCCTCGATGCCGTTGTGCACAGTAAGAGCTCCTGGGTTATCCAGGCCAAAGCAGGGCTGCACATCATTTGGGAAGTTACAGTGGAAAGTGTGTAGGTGTTGTTCCAGATCCACGTTGAAAAAGGACAGAGTCCCCCTCTCGTAGTCCAGAGCCACCCCGATCCGCACTGGGTTCACTGTGATCCTCAGGTCAGGACTGCAGCCGCCGTGCAGAAACTCGAATTTATGCCTAAAGAAAAAAGGGCATTTTGTCAGCCATTGTAATTCAATTTATTATATTAGGATGTTTCTTTGGTGTATTATTGTGCATAGATAGAATGAACAAAAAAATGCAGTGTATCATATTTTAAAAACAGATGATGCTGTTGAATGAGTAATGTGAATAAATTGTTAAAATTATATTTATTACTATAAAGACGTTCACGACGTAAACCACATTCAGCCCTTGTGTGATCAATGTGACAATCCAAGTGTCCTGCTTTGAACCAAGATGAGTTGCCATGGCAACACTTATAAAGTAACTGATATTCCACTGTGTCTTCTACAATCAATAGGCTTCGTTTTGTGGGAGCGGATGCACAATGTTTTTGCTTAGGAAAGGGAAATCTGCGGCAAAAAATAGATTTGTGGCCCAGATTCCATGTACTGCAATAGTAGACTCAGAGGATCAGCATGCTAATAGGATCAGATTGACTGAACATCTTTATCAACTTGGGAGGGAAAACATTCCCCAGCTTGTTTAATGGGGATGGGAATAACAAGTCAATCAAGGGACTGAGCAATCACTCAAAGACGGAGAAGTATGCTTATCTCATAGCGATCATGGAATCTCTTACGTTTGAGGTCAGTTATATAGGAGGAATAAGGTTGTATACAAAGTTCTGTTGAGACAGAGCTTATGCAAATCTATATTATATAACCGTCTCAAACAGTAATTATAATATCAACAGTAATGCTTTTTTAACAGACATGATGCATTTACCTGGATGGAGTGAGAATGTGTCTCATACACCAGGAGGTGTTGTTGGCTCCGAGGTAGGAGTTCCTCTCCGTGTCCTCAGATGCAACTCCGATCCTAAACTCTGTCCCATCATCCACCTCAACTTCCCAGTAATGCCTGCCTCGTACTGGGATCAGATCCCCCAGGACAGCAACACATCTGTACACACAGCCTTACTTTACATATCTACACTCTTGGAAAGTCCCGTTATCTTCAGTCACAAAAGACCATTGTATGTTTACCTGCTAAAGGTGTTGTTATCGTCTAAGGCCATAGCGCTGATTGGCAGCTCCTCGTCTCCATAGAAAATTGTGAAGCCGTCCTCAGAGATGGAAAGGCAAGAATGGGCAGTTTCCTCCAGGAGGTAGAAGAGTGTACCTGTACAGGTAAAAAGCAGAGATGGAACTTATCAAAGTGAACTCACTGAAGTATGGTTCCCAAATACAATTTTGACTACTTCTATTTGATGCTACATTATTCTTCCTACTTCACTACAATGATCAAGTAAGCTATTATACAGGTCAAGGTGTATAGAAAAACCTGATTCATACAAAGAGATGATGCATTTTTATAACTCAAACTACCAAACATAGACAGTTGTGTGACCATCAAAGAGGGTTTCATCCTCAGATTCTATCTATCTATTCTACATGTTTTTGCAATGGTTCCCAACCTGGGAAACATGACCCATAAGGGGGTCAATAGATGAATCCAAGAGGACACCTGTGGCTGCTATGGCAAGGCAAGTTTATTTATATAGCACCTTTCAACACAAGGCAATTCAAAGTGCTTTACAACAATGAAATACATTAAGAGCATTAAGAAACATATTATGAAATGGCATTTAAAAACACTCATTTAAAAGCAAAGATAATAAATCATGAATAACAAAGGTACATGCATTTAAGTTACAGTGCAGTGTGAGATACACACATCTGAAATGTTAAGGTCTGACTCAATCATTGCTAACTTTTTAGCAAAAATCGTTTCACTTTTTTTCTACTTTATTTTTTAATTTATCCTTTAGTTATTTCAAGTGTTTAATGCTTAACGAACCCATCTTTTTAAAATGTTAATCTACAATCCAATATTCAGAAAATTCAACGAATCTTGGGCTTATTTGTGTAGCATATTAATTTGCTCCCAGACATTCATGTGGCTTGCTAGCTATGAGTTATTTTACTTTAGACGCTCTAAGTGAATTTTGTTGCTTTACTTCCGCTCTTCTTCTAAATGCAGGACCTTTACTTCTAACACCATTTTTTTATAAATCAGTACTGATACTTTGACTTCTTTCCCCCAATGTCTGAAAGTACCATGAACAGCTGATAGTGATGCCTCTCACCTGTCGTGGAGACGGTGATCACTTCACTCCTGTCGCTGGGCCCACCGATGTTGACTGCTCTCACAGAGATGAGGTAACGGCGCCCTGTCTGCAGCTGGATCACACACTGACAGGTTGGCACGGCTACAATAGACCTGGACGATTAACCAATGGGACAGAAGGCTGATATCACTTACTATTTAAACAGTCTTAATGCACAATGAGGACAACTTTTTGGATTGGCTTTTATTTCCATATCTTCAGCAGAGTATAAAGCCTTAAAATAACAACTTGTCTCACAACTTCTGAAATAGTAGGTGGATAAACGGGGTGTTTAACTAAGAACTTTCTCACATCTAAGCACAGATCCATTACAGTTAATACCGTTTAGGCGCCTCTTTGCAAAATGCAGAGACTATTCATTATAAAAAAGGTTTTCCTGTTCTCCAAAGTGATCAGATGAAAAATGAAAATGACCCCAAATGTGAGGACGGTATTCGAGCTGTGCTGCAGGAGCTGAGGCTAAGAATAGATTTTCTGGGACAGAGTGTCTTGATTCAGCAGCTCTATAACCATGGGACCTAAAAAATCCCAAGCAAGCACTAACAAGGGCTTTTTTATGGATGTATTGAAGCAAAAGCCTTATTAAAAGGACAGGGCTGTGAAGACCAATATCACAGGGGTGCTGCATCTTTGAAGCTCTGCAAATTCACTGGGGCATTTTTTTTTTAACAGGGCTATTTTTAGATTACAAAAGAAAGCACAATTAAATCCTGAGCTTAGTACAGCAACCTTTGGTCACTGAGACAAATTATGTACATCATTCCTCGAACCCGCACTCTTTGGAGTAAGCTAAACGTTTTCTCATCCTAGTGTGAGCTACATAGTCATTTATCACTTGATCTTTTTCATGGAATATTTCAGAAACAGTATTAAAAGGATTATTTCTAATGCACATGTACTGCAACTGATCATTTCTTTTTAAAGTAACTTGCTGTTCTTGTGGGTTTGTTCATTTATCTTAAACTATTTATTCTTCTCTGGCCCCGATTCCATTGTAAAAAAGATTCTGCAATGGGAATATTCCTGTTAAAATAAAGCTTAAATAATCAAACTGTGGGTTTAAGTTAATAACTAGTTCTTACTCAGTTATGGCATTCTCTGTTCCATCAGTGCCCATCTCACTGAGCTCCACCGTGTAAGAGTCCACAGGGTTGGTGTTCCCTGACTCCCAGCGGATCAGAGCAGCCTCTGGACAGCTGGTACACTCCCTCTGCTTTATCACTGGAGGCGATGGCACTACAGCGAGAGAGCAATCACGATTTACACTTAAGTCCCTCTAACATCAATCCTGTGAAGCTGGAGCCATTACCAAATAGATAACAGTGATTTTAGGAGACATCCTGAGACCACAGGACTATTATTTAAACTTTCACAAGTTTTATGAACCCTCGTGTTGTAGGAATGCAACATTTATTACCTGTCATGTATAAGGCCTTCTCGCTCGCTGGGCTGATGCCCGTGGTGTTGGTGGCAGTCACCCAGAGTTCATACTGAGCGTTTGGCAGCAGATCTGCCACAGTGCAGTGGGTCTCCTTCACTTTCACCTTGCTGACTGAAAAGCAGGCAAATATTTAATTATGGCTGCACTGATTACCATCATACTGCCAGTATTCCTGAGAGACATTTCCAAATCAATGTTATTCCAACAGTAGATGGTGTTATCATGCAATCTGTAGTCCGTGTCTTATACCAGGTGGTGCACATGAGCTGTCTGCTGGTGTGTCCTCCAGCACCGGCCTGTAGTAGAGCTCATAGTACTCCACCGTGTCGTCGGAGAACAGGCTCCAGCACACACGCAGGGACGTCTGGGAGGCCGAGTTGGGCATCTGTGGGTTGATTACCGGGGCTGATGGAGCTGTTTATATATTGGAGAAACATTTTTTATTTGTTTTTGTTATCACGTCATATGATCAAAAGTACAACGGTGCAGGAGCGGTTTTGCATAAAATGCATTACGACTGCTTGCTGTAGTTTAATCTAAAAGCGGACAACTTTTTCTGGTTTGGCTTGTTGGGTTACTTGTTTATGTCCACAACGCTTTTCCACTTCCCTACATTCACAACTTGGATATGACCATATCTGTCCAATGATCTTTGTTACTCAGGTAAAATCATCCCTAAAATGTACTTAAAATATCACTGTAATCCTATAATTTGCTTTTGTAGGCTTACTATGTACCACAGCTCCCATCATAGTGATAACCTTAGGATGTTTAGGGAGACTTCCATCATCAACTGTACTTCCATCTCCTATCTGTATGATGGCTTGTGGATAAAATTCAATAGAAATATATTTCCAATCCCCACAGTCTCTTTCTCTGCTAAACCCAATAAATATTGTTGAACCCTCATCTCTTTGCTGTACTAATAATTAGTTATTGATTATTGGTAGCACTGTAGCTGATTTGGGGAAACTATTTGTAAATCAGACCTGGAACAACGTTGATGGAGTCCATCATGGTTTTAACATCCGACATGTCAGAGAGTGGTGTATTAAACTCCAGACTTGTAGACAACGTGAGCTCAACCTCCTCTTTGGCAAAGTCCTCAATTCTTGTGTTGAACAAAAAAAAAAAGGTCTGAGTAATACAATTTAACATTTAGGGTCAAGCAGCTTGTGTCATGCTGTTTGTTTGTATAACGCTTATTAAATGTTCAAAAGGTGTCTATTTACATAATATAAGACTAAAGGCAAAAACATATTGTTAATCCATTGAAATCACACTGCAGTCACGGTCAGAGTCACACTATCTGGCATGCTCACTGACAAGCTTCATAATTACCTTTTAATGGTGGGCATAACTGCCTGTCAATAAAGTCAAAGAAATCAATTGAATAAAGTAAATAGATGTAGAATTACAATACAATATTTCAGATCCACAATCACTATCAGCAGTGGTTTTAACATCGACAGTAACATCCTTCACTGGAGCTAATGTAATCTGCACTTGAACAAAAGCGTGGACACCTTGAGGAACAGCCTCTTGTCCTGGCTGCGGTACACCTTCTGGGCCGTCTCAATGAGCTCCTTGGAGGCGTCCATGGCTCGCCCACAGGCCAGCAGCTGCTTGTACAGCGCCTCTAGCTTGCCCTTCTTCTCCTCCTCCAGCCCCGCCGCCCTCTCGTCGTAACGCTGAGACAACGTCAGCAGCACATCGTTGTAGTGCTGCTCCAAGTGCTGCTCCTGACGGCCAAAATTCTCCTGCACATACATTTATATGACCACAGTTAAAAGAGATTTACACATGTGTTGCGCATTAAACTAACTATTAAAAGAAGAGAAATGAGGAGAGGATGATGGATAAAGGGAGGCAGTGAATGATATGGCCGTGTTTGACTTCTGAGTTAGGGACCTCCAGGAGACACACATCTACTTACAAAAATGAAATCTGACATATTGAACTTTCTTTTTGTCTTCGAGTTTAATAAAACTCAAATATTCAAAAATAAGTATTCCCAAAATGCTCACATAGCCATAAAATAATAAATCAATGTCAAAACACATTACCACAATCTGTTCCACTAAACGGAGAGTGTTTAGAGAATGACTTTACCTCCACAGTGAGAAAGATTTCTTCCAGATGACCTGCAAAGTTCTCCATTTCAGCAACTTTCCCTTGCAATCGATTCCTGACTGTGACGATCTCACCCTGAAAACAATTGAAAGTCAAAATTGCCTTTTTAATATAATCCAGTAACAACAATTTTTCAGCCTGTGTCGTCAGGACTTTCTGCTCATGTGACATTGTGTGTCTCGGTAACAAAAGCTTTCATGGGGACAGCTCCATCTTCTGGGATACAAAGAAACCTGAAATGATAGATATGCATGTGGAACGTAATTGCCATATTAAGAAAAAAAGAAAAAAAATGGGCATGTTGTAATGGATTTTTTTTTCTACTAGCCATGGCATCTCTAGCAGGTTCTGTATTTGTGCTGCTATGTTTACCAAAACCATTTTAATAATGTAAACCCAAACAAATAAAGGAAAAAAATGTAATGTTTCATTCATACATCATGGGCAAAATATGTGCCAATGTCTCACCTCAGTTTCTCCCTCTCTGAACACATTGTCATCATCCAGTTCATCTTCTGGTGGGGTGGGAGATGGAAGGCTGTCCTCACAGGGCTCAAAGTGAAGGGACTCGTTGGTGCCTACAGAAAACCTCTGGAAGGTGGACACACCTCGGGGGGGCCTCGCTTCTCTGTCTGCCATGATGGTTGAATCTCTGCTCAAATCCTGGTGCTCAGCTTCCTCTGCAATCACATCCAGTGTGCCTCCTCTGATCTCAAACAAGTCCATGGGGAGAGGGGCTGTGAGTTTTAAAAATATTTTTAAAGTTTCGGATAAAAGATCTATTTACTTCAATCCTTTATTGATCAAAAACATTTAAGAACAAAACATTCTGCATCAAATAACAGCTAAATAGAAACAACACACAAGAGAAGAACTAAAAACTACACTCTTCATTCATTAACCCACCAAGTTGTCTCTAACATAACAGTCTGCTAGTGATAAAAGGATGAATTGTGATTATATTATTTGATGCATGTTTACCTTGATAATTCAGCAAAACAGTCTGTTCTCAACGGCCATTTTAGGCCAACACTGGTGTCCGACAAGTCAGCTGTGAAGGCAGTCCAACCCTCACCAAGCAGCTGTGACAGAAATAGATGGTAAGCTACTCGGATTGCTCAAATATCACATGAATGCCAAACACACATGCAGAAAGTTGGATATTTATTGAAAATAAGCTCACAACTAATAATAAACCTTAGTTTTGATAACACTGTGTATACTCATGTAACTTAAAACCAGTATCAGTTTTCATTTATTGCTACTAAGGAGGTGGAATTCCCCTAACATGTGATTCAAAGGTCGAAGTTGAAAACATTGCCAGGGATATTATGATGCCTTCCGTGCTCCTCGTTAATAACACAATTTGTTCTTTCAGTACCTTAGAAACGAACAAAAATAGCTAATACTGATTATTTAAAATCAAGCAATCCTGAACTTTTTTAACAATGCTATGTAACTTATTTTATTGAAAGTAGATGGGATAAATTGTATTTATCTATGGTTTAAAATGTTGTGCTCTAGTGAAACTGATAGTTCCGGATATGTCAAAGGTCTTTGAATGCGGCTTACGTCACACCAATGGCGGACGTTGTAAACAGAGCCAGTAGCTTCTCTGGGGCCGAAGTGAAACAGCTGTTTTTAAGATGAATAACGTAGAAACTGAGCGTTTGGACAGTCTGGATGGGTGGGTGGCGGTGAAAAGTAACATATTTGAAGAACAGGAGACGTTTAAGCTGGGATTCATCGTACAGTGGAGCGTCATCGAGTGTAAGTTCGCCGTCACCTGCCACAACAGGACGCTACAGCGACAGAAGCGCAGATCTGAGGGGGTCTTTGGGGACCCTCAGGTGAGCTGGGCCGGACTCTTCTCCGTCAGCGACCTCAAACACATCCACCTACAGTTCACATGTGTGGCGGACATCTTGGCACACTGCTTCCCGGACTTATCAGAGTTTGAGCAAGGCAACATTTGGGACCTGCTCTTCCTGAGTCGCAGCAGGTCAGGAGGTCCCGGGGAGGATGATGATGAGGAGAGGGATACAGACACGCCGTGCAGGAAACTGGAGAAATACTTCAGCACTGCTATTGACGTGTGCGGAAGAAAGATAGTGCTCGACACGTTGTTCACGCAGGATGAGCGGGATGTTGAGGAGTACTTTGAAAATCTGCTGGAGTTCAAGAGGAAGAGCATGCAGGAGGAGATGTCGAGGGCCAAGGGTCACGTGCGACAGGTGAGGAGGGGTGACAGGTGAGGGATCAATGAGCCACAGGTGCTTCACATCGATGGCAGGTAGCAGTATTCACAAGCCTGGCAAAGATAGACGGCTCCCATCGAGCTCCCTGTGATACACAGTCGGTGTGACTTAAACTCCGAATGAATGCAGCATTGCATTTTATTGTACTGGACACGTAGGATTCGATTTAAGTGCTTCTATTTTATTTGAATATTTTGTTGATGTTCTTTTTAATTTCTTTCAAGTCATGTTGACGATTGAATCCTAATCCATTACTGATATTATGACTGCGCTGGATGAATAAGACACACCTATTGTGTATTGGCTTCTCCCCTTTTTTCTTTGCAGATCACTAGCTTCGATATCATGTGGATTTTTTTCCACCTTCTATATCATATGACTGTTATTATTATAAAAGGTGCCGTTTTCATTCCAAAGTTATTTTCTAGCTTTCATGTCATGAGACCCATTGACCCATTGTAGCGTGGAGCACATACTTTTTTTTTTAGGGCACCAACTATTTTTGGTATACAAGTTTTATTTAAAAAAATAAACACCTGTCATTTTATGCCGTTTTGCTCTTATAATATAGGATATAAATAGACTTCAGTCTATTTCAGTTTCTCCATGTTTTCTTCTGCATTTCTTGCCTCTGTACACCAAGGCAAACATGTGTAGAAGTATTAGAAGCTTTCTTTGAGGCTGTCAAAAATACATGTAGACAAGCCACACTGATATTATCTGAAGGAACGTTACATTTCTAAATGTTATACTAAAAGAAAGAAGATTTTGTGAGGATTTATTGAAAGATTTAGTAAAAGAAGAAACCTCTGAAAAGCTTGACTGTATTTCCATTAATGATTTTCTTATGAATATTTCTCTACAGGAGTAGCACCACACAGTGGTGTTACACGTCTACTATTACATAGCAAATATTTCCTGTTTGTGTGTATTCAAAGCTTAAGATGTTGCAACACCACCATCACTGTTTCTCTTTCAGACTGTGATTTTAAGTGATTTGTCCACAGAAATGTAACTTGACCCACCCATCCTCACCTTTTTGTTTACTTAAGATAAGTACACAATCCAGTCAGCTACACAGCATCAGCAACATCTCTACAACTAATGCTTTTAAAGATTGCATACAAAAGAGACACTGATGCAGTTAAACCACCTTTTAGATCATATGATGCTTTGTTGACACTGTGCCAGAGAGCAGATCTGAGGTCATGGCTTGATGATGTTGGACTTTATTTGTACTTTATTTTACAGTTAAGTCTTATAATGTCGCCCTCTAGTGCATACAAAAGTAGTGAATTATATTGCACAGGTTTGAGAATCTTCAAAAAATCTGAGGAAATTACATGACTTTTAAAAAAAAAAGAAAAATCTATCTGTATTTCTGCGTATTCCGTCATTCAAACCTACATTTTTGAACCGCGTTGTTTCGTTTACCTGACAACTTTTCAGTTATTGATCAACCTGACCTGGGTGAACACAAGGTCTCATCACTTGAAACCCTTGATATATGCTCTTGATAATGGTATCAGATTTGATGGGACACATTTGTTTGACTTCATGTCTGAGAAATGACAACTGCCAACCTCTGACTTCTTAGCTCAACCTTAAGCCGTCCCGGTTATGAAGGTGTATTCTCAAATGACTTGTATATTGACTGTTATATTACTATAATATACTTACAGTGGGGCAAAAAAGTATTTAGTCAGCCACCAATTGTGCAAGTTCTCCCACTTAAAAAGATGAGAGAGGCCTGTAATTTTCATCCTAGGTACACTTCAACTATGAGAGACAGAATGGGGGGAAAGAATCCATGAAATCACATTGTAGGATTTTAAATGAATGAATTGGTAAATTCCTCGGTAAAATAAGTATTTGGTCACCTACAAACAAACAAGATGTCTGGCTCTCACAGACCTGTAACTTCTTCTTTAAGAGCCTCCTCTGTCCTCCACTCGTTAACTGTATTAATGGCACCTGTTTGAACTCGTTATCAGTATAAAAGACACCTGTCCACAACCTCAAACAGTCACACTCCAAACTCCACTATGGCCAAGACCAAAGAGCTGTCAAAGGACACCAGAAACAAAATTGTAGACCTGCACCAGGCTGCGAAGACTAAATCTGCAATAGGTAAGCAGCTTGGTGTGAAGAAATCAACTGTGGGAGCAATTATTAGAAAATGGAAGACATACAAGACCACTGATAATCTCCCTCGATCTGGGGCTCCACGCAAGATTCTCACCCCGTGGGGGTCAAAATGATCACAAGAACGGTGAGCAAAAATCCCAGAACCACACGGGGGGGGACCTAGTCAATGACCTGCAGAGAGCTGGGACCAAAGTAACAAAGGCTACCATCAGTAACACACTGCGCCGCCAGGGACTCAAATCCTGCAGTGCCAGACGTGTCCCCCTGCTTAAGCCAGTACATGTCCAGGCCCGTCTGAAGTTTGCTCGAGAGCATTTAGATGATCCAGAAGAGGATTGGGAGAATGTCATATGGTCAGATGAAAACAAAATAGAACTTTTTGGTAAAAGCTCAACTAGACGTGTTTGGAGGAGAAAGAATGCTGAGTTGCATCCAAAGAACACCATACCTACTGTGAAACATGGGGGTGGAAACATCATGCTTTGGGGCTGTTTTTCTGCAAAGGGACCAGGACGACTGATCCGTGTAAAGGAAAGAATGAATGGGGCCATGTATCGTGAGATTTTGAGTGACAACCTCCTTCCATCAGCAAGGGCATTGAAGATGAAACGTGGCTGGGTCTTTCAGCATGACAATGATCCCAAACACACCGCCCGGGCAACGAAGGAGTGGCTTCGTAAGAAGCATTTCAAGGTCCTGGAGTGGCCTAGCCAGTCTCCAGATCTCAACCCCATAGAAAATCTTGAAGTTGAAAGTCCGTGTTGCCCAGCGACAGCCCCAAAACATCACTGCTCTAGAGGAGATCTGCATGGAGGAATGGGCCAAAATACCAGCAACAGTGTGTGAAAATCTTGTGAAGACTTACAGAAAACATTTGACCTCTGTCATTGCCAACAAAGGGTATATAACAAAGTATTAAGATGAACTTTTGTTATTGACCAAATACTTATTTTCCACCATAATTTGCAAATAAATTCTTTAAAAATCAGACAATGTGAGTTTCTGGATTTATTTATTTGTTTCTCATTCTGTCTCTCATAGTTGAGGTATACCTAGGATGAAAATTACAGGCCTCTCATCTTTTTAAGTGGGAGAACTTGCACAATTGGTGGCTGACTAAATACTTTTTTGCCCCACTGTGTATATACTGCTATACGAAAAGGCACATAGAGCAAAGCTCGGCTGTGGGTTCAGAATAAACCCAGCTAATGGTGTATATTATGTCTTCCATGTTGCAGCTCCTGCAGCGTCATGGCAGTGTAGACCGAATGGTGGCGCTGCTGCGTATCTACGAGGAAGAGGACGAGGCATACCAGGACCTGGTCACCGTGGCTACCACCTTCTTCCAGTACCTGCTGCAGCCTTTCAGGGACATGAGAGAGCTGGCCTGCCTCTACAAGATGGAGATCCTGGTAAATAAAGACATCTAATTAGCAGCAATGCCTTTTTAGGATGTGGTAAATTCATATAGATGTGTTTTTTGTAAAACGAATTACTGAATATCTTATTAATTGAAGTGTTAACGCACATACATTTAAGGTTTTTGGAACATCCTCAGCTCGAGGCAAAATATCTGCAGACAGCTTTTGCCAAATGTTATGCAAATACACTTTTATAGCCAAAGAACATTGTCAAACTTATGTAACTGCTTAAAGATGCCAGTACTTGTGTTATACGCTAACAGTTCCTCCCACTATTTGTATCACTGTGTAACCACTAATTTGCAGCCTTCTTTCTTTACAAACACTTCCAATAACTCCAGACTGTGCACAGTCCACAAGTCAAGATATATTGAAAAAAGTTCATAAAGTAGTCCATTCCCAATATTGATTACATATAACAAC